AAAAACAAAAATTAGTTTGACTTGTATCCACTCCACCCCTTCTAAGACCCTAGATAGCTGGGACAAACATTGGCTTTATAGTGTTAGTGGGGATAAGTATAAGCTAAACTTTTGCCTTTCCACTGTCTTGCATGTAAGTAATCCCCTAGGAATGGAAACTTTAAGTGGATGCACAATAAAACCTTTTATTTTTGATAATTTTATGCACAATAAAATCTTTAAATATAGAGTCAAGAGTCCCAACAAAATAGTTCAATAGTGATATAAACATGGTTGATATCGATGGCAAGCTGGCCTTTTAATATAATAGCAAATATGCACTTGCTTTACACATAGCAATTTTAGATGATGATGATGATGATGATAAGGATAATAGTAATAATATGTTTCCAATTTTTTCTACAATTTTCTTATATTTCCATGTGAATAAAAATATTTCTTATTTATCACACTTATTTTTTTAAATGTCGAATATGTGATACTAGAAATGTGTCTAAATGTTTTCTACAATTTTTTATTGTATTTTTTATAATTTCTTTTATGTTTTTATCTTTTTCTAGTTTTTGTTACTTAATTATGACATCAAGGGTCAACACATTGTACTTGTCAAAAATATATTAGCACATTGACCTAAAAGGTTGAATAATTGACCCACCACATAGGAAAATAATTCCATTTTTTGGTCGGTTTTAAATTTTGTACATTCTTTCCATTATCACTAAAAATAATTCTTCTTTATCACACTTAATTTTATTTAACATGATTAATACAAAATATTAGAACTGTGGCCAAATGTTTTCTTCAAAATTTATGTGTTTTTTTTTGTGTTTTATACTTTTTATTTTTATTATTTACTTATAACATCAAAGGTTGACATTTTTTACCTGAAATGTTGAACTATTGACCCACCACTAAATAGGAAAACAAATTCACTTTTGGGTTAGTTTTAAATTTTATATTTCATTTCTATCTTCAATAAAAAAGAATTCTCATTTGTCATACATATTATTCTTTAATATGAGTAATATAAAACATTAGAAATGTGCCCACAAAAATGCTGTGCTTTTTCAAATTTCATTTTGTGTTTTTAATCTTTTCTTTTAATGTTTATTATTTAATTATAATGTCAAGGGTTTACATATTTGACTTCAAAAGTTAAAGTGCTGACCCACCAAAACAATTTCATTTTTCTGATGGTATTAATTTTTTATTTCATTTCCATCATCAATAAAAACAACCCATGTTTGTAACACTTATTTTTCTTTGAAATGATTAATATAAGATATTATAGATGTAACAATTTTTTCAACAATTCTTCTGTTGTCTGTAATTTTTGTACTTATTTTTATTTTAAAAGTTTTATTATTTAACTATGATACCAAGGATGGGCCAATTTGGCCTAGATGGATGAATTGCTTATCTACCACCAAGATGGAAGGAGGAGCAGGTATGTTTTTGCGTCACTTTTAAAAAACATGGGTTTTGTATTGTTAAATTAAGTATTGGATATAGAGTTCCTTGCCAAATTCAAAATAGGGATATTGTAATAAAAAAACAGGATTTAATGACAGATAATATTGGGAATTAATACATTACATATAAGAGTGGGAATTGAATTAGATAAAAAGTAGTAGTTTAAATGACATTTTCTTCCCTCACAATTAAAAAGGGACCAAATTAAAAAATTAAAAAATAGGAGTATGTTGGTCAACTCAAAATTCCACACTATACTTTTTCTAATAGTATATATATAGATTATAAATGGTTGGATACAAGATGCTCAACAGCAAGTAATTTGAGCGGTCTAACAATACCAATATTTGGGTATTTTGTAAAAATACTAAATAAGTGTCCATATCCATCTGAACAGAAGAAAGAAAACGTATATGATTCGCTACAATATAACCAGTTGGCAAACAACGAAAGAAAACAAAATCTAGCAAAGACAGAAATTATTGACGAACTACCAAGATTTTTGGAAGGTGAAACGTGTTATATGGTTTAAATTAGGTACCCATGAAAATGTAATGACCTACAATTTTGTCATAGGAAAGATTGAAGTGAAGGGATAGCATTTTTACCTTTTTTTTTTCTTTAAATACCAAGATTACTTTGAGACAACTAACTGATGAATCTTATTTACTGCCTACATTCAGGTATAAGTGGTATTCGCAGATCAAAATGGGGACATCAAGGTGGCTTTCTTTGAACATAAAAGCACAGAATTACAGCTGTACTTCAAGGTTTAAAGCTAGCCACCTCCTTTGGTTTCCTAGGTAAATTTGATCAATGAATGGGACTCAAAAGTCTAGTAATCTTTGATTAAAAGGTGAAATGGATGGCGACATTGGAGAGTAAGACATCAGATCAGGGTGGCAATTAAAGCATTTGACAGTTGACACTCAGTTTGGGTGGCAGATTTGTTATGGATACCTAGATCTGCTGCTAATCCAATTGCTGGTTCACTAGCACATGGAGTTAACAAAAAGGCATTGCTTACGGGGTGATTACCCGTTGGACTGAAAGATCACATTATCTTTTCAGTGTAATGGAATCAAGATACCAAATATGAGTCGAGCCTCACCAAGATTCCAGTTCCAGACTTCCAGGAAGGTATATTAATATGGCAAGATATGACGATAATCAATAGTTGTATGGTTGAACAATCGAAAAATCTATCCAAGATTAACAAAAGTGGAATATCCATGGCATTGGAATAAGAATATATATTCGTATACTGTATCTTATGCGCATTTATATTCATATTAGATAGAATTGAAGGCATTCCAATAAAACTAAACTTCATCACAAATATCAATAGATGACTTTTTAAAACTGCACAAGACATTAAAAGTCCAAAGAAACAGAAAGGAGAAAGGCAAATGACTACTATGAATTGAAAAGGTTGTGTTAACTGCACAACATCAGTTGCCAAATGTTACAGGAGGAATTCTTTAGAGTTTAACAGCCAAATATAAGAAATATTACAAACATGCAAATAATGAAAGTACTCGAACTATTAACTCAAAAAGAAGGTATAGAAGCATTACAATAGGAAATTATAAAATATGTGTGGCACATTGGACATGTTTTGACCCATACTAAAGGTGCATGTTGCTAGTTCCATTAGTAACCCTAACACAATGACCTTATAACTCCTAGAATAGATCCAGCTAGCCTCATACTAAAAGCCACCACGGTTTGGGCTTTATTGCCCTCAATAGTTGAAACGCGATAAAGGATTTTCCTGTAATGAATATCAAAGTTTACTAAAACAGGAGAGATAATGATCGCGAAAACCAGCTATCAGAAGAATTTCTGTTTCAGTTTAATCAATAACTTGGGCTTGGGAGTTGGGAGGTTATATTTACAGGAAAGAGTGTAGTGACAACATCAACAATAGATTTTTGTGATGTTCACGGCAAGAAAAATCCGATGGTTAATATATATGTTAACAAAATAGATTTTTGTGATGTTCACGGCAAGTTTAATCAATAACTTGGGCTTGGGAATTGAAGGCATTCCGAGTAAAACAGTAAACATGGAAGAAGTAAAACAGTCATGCAGTCCAGTGAAAGCCTTTTTTTTATGAAACACACAATCTATGACGTGAACTAATATAGTGATATTCAGTTTTATTTGTATTATGCTTGTCTTTTGCTCCATTTTCTGGCCTCTCTGCTTGGTTTCAAACTTTCTGTCTTTAGGCTTAGTTTGGAAGGAGTATATACAAATATGTAGAGTGAAAAACATTGTATTTTGTATTATTTTTTGATGTATTTGCACTCTGAGCCTAATTTCCCCAGAACTTCCAGTTTTTTATAACTCAAGAAGGAAAGGGAGAACAACAAGTCTTACTCAAATAAGTAATAAGCGCGAGTCTCAAAGTTAATGTAAAGCCGAAAGTTCGTATTTTTGGTTTGTGGAAAGCAATCCTCCAATCTGATATTACAGTGTCATGAAGTATAAAAAGAACAAAGTTTTCTTCTGTATCCCAAAATCTAAGGCCTCGCACCGAAAGGAAACAACTAGATAATGAACAGACACGAGTGGGAGTCCACAAACCAGATAAGAGATTAAATGAAAGTTTAAGAGGAGAGAGAGAGAGAGAGAGAGGAAATCAATTATGAGATCTCAACGTAGAGTACGGCTTTGCTCCCTGATTCCAGTGCGTTTGTAATCAGGCTGTGTCTAGAGAAACGGAGAAAGAGAAACCAAAGAAAAATATAAATTCCTTTGCTCAACGAAAACATGGCTATGGAGTCTCTTCTTTGTTTGGAGTTTAACTGTAGTCTACCGAGGCGCTGAAAAGTAAAAGAGGAACCAGAGAAGCCCTAGATCTAGCGGCGAGGTCCGATGTGAGGTCCTCGTAACATTTTCCCCAACCGTACGTGCGAAACGCAGGGAAAAGATTGTACAGCCGATCGTTAAACGAAGAAAACCAACGGACAGAGAAGAGACGCTGTGAAAGAGAGAAAAGACCGACAAGACTAGGAAACGTGTCAAGGTGCCATTGGCAGATCTCGTCTTCCTCGGTAAAAGGAAGAAATTATTTTGTATCTGCAAAAACAATAATTTCTTCAAGCGGACAGGAAGTATAAAATCGAGAGAGTGAAGAGCGAGAGATTTGTTGAAGTGAAGTGCACTCTTCACGGCGAGGATGAACAGAACAGGTAGACGATAAAAACAAGTACACAATCTCGGTAGGCTTTTCCTTCCCTCTGCAATTCAACACCAACAGAATTGAAAAGTAACAAATTCGAAAGAAAAGGCAGAAATAGAAGTAAGAAAGCATTAATATTCAGCAAAGTAGAAACAATCCGAAAAAACCGCAGATCGACCATTTAAGCAAAGAGATCTATCAATTATAAAAGCGCAGCGTTGTTTTTTCTGTTGAGAATAACACAGAGGGAAAGCAAAGAATATAAACAGACCAAACCAGACAGTGAGAGTCGACGCGATATAGATAAAGAGAGAAGATGAGGTAAAGTCGATCATACCCGGCGCTTCCAAACTCATAGAGCTTTCCGCGACTGGAGAAGATGATGAGAGCAACCTCAGCATCGCACAAGACAGAAAGCTCGTAAGCTTTCTTGAGCAAACCGTTCCTCCGCTTGGAGAAGGTGACCTGACGGTTGATCTTGTTCTCGATCCTCTTAAGCTCCACTCTTCCTCTCCCCATCTTTTTCTTCTCTCTCAAAGTCTCCCACAGAAGCACAGCTCCACTACTGACGACCACCGAGAGCCGATCCAGAAAATGGAATAGCCGACCACGAGAAAGAAAGAGACAGACTCCCTTTTTTTTTACAGCAGCAAGTATTGGGGTAAATGGAATAGTAAGACTGCGTTTTCTTAGTTTGTATATATATATATAAAGAGAGAGAGAGAGAGATTTAGAAAAAGAGAGAAAGCAGTTGGGAAGAGCTACTGATAATTCCTTCTACTAAAAGTAGGGAGATTTCTCTTATAATGGGATGTGGACGAGAAGCTACTACTCTCGACTTAGCCCAAATTATACACCACCATGCTTAGTTGGATCCTCTCTTATAGCAAAATGGAAATGTATAACTCCTTCCCATTATTCTCTTTCGCTTTTGTTAATCTTTTTCTCCTTTCGTTATTTACTTTATAGTGTGCTAGTGGTCGAGTAGCTCGTTTTCTCTCTCTTTCTTTCTTTGTGATTTCTATCTCTATTTCTCCAGGTAATAAAAAGTTAAAAGCTACGAGAGGTGAGGTGAGGGGAGAGAGGAGAGAGCAAGCCACAAACCACAAGTGCACAACTGGGACTGGGCAGGCAGTGGCAGGGGCACTGTTGATGATTAAATGTGTTGTGGTGAGCGTCAGGATACGTGTCGAGCGACGTACGCAGGGATCTCTTGTCAAATGATAAAATCTTCTATCGCGCTCAATCCGGCGTCCCTCGTTAACATGTTACATACATCCCCACTCCCCAATCCCAATCCCCATTTCATTTATTTAACTATTTTCTCGCAGTTAAATTTAACGGCCGTCGGCTGGCGTTGGGTTGTCACAGACCTTACGGTTAGGGGCTTTGGGCATCACTCCTTACATAATTCTCATTATCAGAACTGTCCATGACCATTTTTTTATATTGACGGATATATCCCTTATCTCTCATTCAACCCTAAGACGTAGACGGGCGCGCCCCCACACCCCACAGTAACATGTCCCATGACGAGTACAGAAGATGTTATCAATGGGTCCGGATGTAATAGGCACGTTAAGTAAGCATATTGAGTGAGCATCTAATAGTTGTGTGACACTTATTCGGGTTAATGTAATTTTTCATCTAAACATTTTTATTCCCTTAGAATTAATAAGTGAAAAACATAAAAGGGGAAATCATAGAGGAGAAGAGATGTACCTGAATCAAAATTTTGGCCTGAGTAATGATGCTGCAAGAGACTTTTAATCCAATCCAATCTAGGATTGTTAGCACTCGAGTGGTGATGATTTTCTTGAATTTCGGTTGGGATAACCATCGGTTCGAACAACAGAATTTACAGAGTAGGAGCTCAATTGATGATTAAAATGATAGAGCAACGACAATAGGGTGATAAGAAGGAAAATTAGGGAAATAAACATGACTGGAAGAGGTTGGGTTTCTATTAAAATCGAATGGGGAATCTGAGAAGGATTGCATCACCGCAAGTCATCTGTTCTTGTCAATGGGAAACAACAAACATGGAGAACTGCAACTGTGGCTCGTCGGAGGAGGAAAAGGAAAGAAAAAAATAGAAAATGTAAGGGAAGAAAAGAATGAGGGAAAAAGATGAAGAGGATGAGAGAAGAGGGATCACCGGGGAGAAGCTTAAGGCAGCCGCCGCTGGTTCGCTTTCGTAGGGAGAAGACAATGAATAGTAGAAGAAAAATAATAAAATAATAGATAATTCCTTTCTAAAGGAACAAATACATTTAGATGAAAAACACATTAATTGGGACAAGTGTCACACAGCTATTAGGTGATCACCCATTGTGCTTACTATTACATCCAAACCCATTATCAATGCACTCTGATAAGTGCATATGGGGCGCTGCCGCACCAGCCGCTGTGGGGTGTCAATCTCAACTCTCCCAATACACACTTTTCTTTTTTCCTTCTCACTTTTATAAACTTCATTTGGCTCGCTTTGTTTGTAATAGGATTTCACTTGCATAAAATACAAATTAGTATTCCATCATTTAATATTCCAAAATTATCCTTTGTTTTAAATGTTTGTATAAACTTAAGCTATTTTTGGTTTTAAAGAAAAGGCAAAGAAAAGAAGGGAAAAGTAGGAATAGGTTTTTCTACCTTTTTCTTCCTTTTCCTACTTTTTCTTTCTAACCAAACATATACTTAATGATTAATAATTGATGACAATCAAAGTCTTCGGTTTGCTTGGATTGAAGCTCGACACAAAATGAAGGCCTGCAAGAAAAAGCTGGTTAGAGTAAAAGAAGTTACTTTTATTATTGGAGTAAAAGTTGTATAATGGCATTCGACTCTAGAATGATAGGAAGCGAGAAGAATACAAATTTTGGTTCAATTTTATTTTGGAGTTCAGGCTCAGTTTGGAAAGAGTATAATTACAAATATATACAGTGTAAATATGTTGGAGGGAGATTTAAATTTTTAAGAATTTTTTTTTCATCTCTTGTTTTTTTCTTTATCCACCCTTAAGTGTATGGAAAAGATTTCTTATCGTAATTGTTTGGAAAAGGAATAGAAATTGAGTATATTTGTAGTTTTGCTCTCTCAATGGGTAGGGACTCATAGGAGGAGAACACTATAGATATTCCATGCATATGAGAGGGGTTGGGAGTGCTTTTTACATGTGCACACCGAGCCGAGCCGAACTGGGTTGGGGCATGCATGCGTGTGCATGTGCGATACACCAAATCATTTTGTTTTAATCGAATTACACCTTTTCATTTTAAATTGTGTCTCTTTAATTTCGAATTTAGTTTTAAATTTAAACGTTTTCTTTTTTTGGTCTCTTCCTCCTTGTGTCTCTTCGAATAGGTGCATTGTTTTGAATAAACTCCTGTCTGAAAGGACACATCTGTGTCCATTCCGGTCTGAGATCAATCTATAAAAGAGATGTTGGTCGATCCAATTTACACACAACAATTTTCCAATTCTTTGTCTTCTTGAAATATGAACATCAATCTTCTATGGTTCGTGGAGGTCTGGTAAGCGAGTACACGCCTACCAGAAGCCTGTGGGCTGTTTTATCTTGGCGACCGATTTGCGATCACTTGACTGCACCGTAGGGGGCAAATGCAGTTTTAAGGAGAGTGACCAAGTGGCATGACTCAGCCCTCCTCCTCCCTGCAATTTCCAATTCTGAGTTTCTGCAAAACATCACAACATTGCAAGTTCGATTTGAAAAACGATTACCGATATGTTTCATTCTACCTCTCTATTTACTATTTTTACAACAAAATATATATAAAATAATACAAAATATATAATTTTGTACTCTACATATTTATATTTATACTCCTTCCAAACAGAGCCTGCAATCTAAACAGAAAAAAATAATAAATAAATAAATAAAGCAAAAGGTGAGTCCCCGCATTTCTCCTCACTTTTCGACTTCATTTTCTTAGGACAAAACTTCTAGGTAAGCTTTGCTTTAACAAGGAGACATATAAAGACATCAAGGATGTTTAGCACCGTGCTGTAGGGCTGTCAATGGACTGAATTTGGAAAAGATAAGTCTGGTCCAAATTCAATCCAATTCACAAAGTTCACATTATATATGGTAATCTTACGAAATAATTAGTCAATATTAGCATTGTGTATAGACCCACAAAATTCTTTTTCTTTTTTTCTTTTTTTTTTCTCCATTTTATATGCGAAGAAAAAGAGTTATACTCCCGAAATTGGAGTTTCTACAATGGGTGATGTGGTAAATTAGAAAATCATTATTCTGAGGAAGCCAGATTTCCTCCTCCCAAAAAGGTCTTCCCACCCACCTTATAGCACTTGTAAATGTGCATTGGAAACATATTCCATGAATGAAAACATACAAGTAAGGAGATGTTCCCAATGTGTATCTTCAATGTGCTGTGAAGACCCTTCTGTGAAGATGAAACCCAAACATTTTAAGAGGATGCTACTGAAAAAAATCTTATAATCAATCAACCAGCATCATAAAAGTGATAACCAATCAGATACATTTTCATCAAAACTCATAGGGTTTTGATTGGTCAAAGCTTTTTCGGCATCATAAATTTTCCCGTAGAAAGTTGTATAGGTTTTCTTACATTTTCCTACTTTTTCCTTCAAAATAAACACAGCCTAAATGACTAGTGAGCACACTTGTAATTATATTTCAATACAAAGAGAAATAAACACTAAAATGGACTCTTGAATCTACCCTAACCGATCAAGAGTGAACATACCAATGTTCCATTCATTTTATTAAAGTGAAGGCCCACTTTTTCTGTAGCTAGTCATTGTACAAACCTTTGTTCACAGCAAATACAACTCATCACATCCACGTATACCATGCAATTCATTATTTGCATAATTGAATCTGTTCCTCCCAAAGTCCCAATACGAGAGATTCCTTATGACTAACCTGACATAAGCAGAGATTGGCCTTCATGTGGTTAATTCTTTGACCGGCGCCTATTGAAAAGCTACACTAATAAAAAAAGATGTCGTAGCTGACTGAGATGGGAAACTCAAAACCAAGTGGAATCGGGATTTCATTATTTGGTCCTCACAACACTTCAGCTGTGCATTTAGGAACATCGCCACATGAATTAATGAAAGCTTTGAAAATATTTTCAATACATAGGGATGGTAATTTTTTCCATTTCTGATTTTTTCATTCCCAGTTAGGGACAATTAGGGATAGGGAATGAAGTCCTCATTCATATATATTAAAATATTTTAAATCATATTTTAAGATTTTTTATTTTAAGTAACTTATTTTTCAAAAAATTCTATTAATTAAAAAATTTTAGAAATTTAGATCCCCATGAAGAACCCATCTCCACCAGGGATCAGGGATGGAAGACAATTTTTGTCATTGGTGGAGATCAAGGTCGATGATGAAAATATGATTCCTGCCCCGTTGCCATTCCTACTAATATAAGAACCAATTTTGTGATGACTAAATCCAATCTCAACCAAGAGTCAAATTAGGGCTGCTCATTGCCCGACACACATTGCTAAATCTTTGGATGTGGATTTTGTAACTTGGAATAGCCCTTGAACCTTGTATTTCTTTTGTGTTTTAGTTTGTTCTTTTATTTGCAGATAAAAAAATAAAAGTCATTTTTTTTTCAAATCATATTATCAAGGTGTATTGTTAACATT